TCATATTCTCATGTTTATACTTTAATTATCAAAAGAAACGAGATTATACAAAATTATGCTATTAGAAAGCCTGGCAGAAACACTCAAGGCTAAAATAAATATATTCGGCTAAGGATTATAGTTTATCTCTACATGAACTAATTATATATAAACTAATTTTGTTGTGCCACAAGATTTATGGAATGTATTATGTAGAATTTTTTACGTTTTTATATATTAGCAATAACAAAATTATAAATTAGTAGTTCGTAGTTTTGAAAAGATCTATTGATTGCGTAAGATAAGAAAAATATTCATTTTCATCTTACAAAATAAAAATACTTTGAAACATGAAAGTTATATTCGATCTATCAGTGATACATTATGACATTTGTGAAATGACTCAGAGTCTCTTGAATTCAGTAGTACTTCTTGGAGTTTGATATCAAAATGGTAGCCTAAAAGAGTGCTTTCAATTGTCATGTGCTTTGTCTTGATTGGCAGACCAAAGCGAAATGCATTCATATAAGTTTTTTTTCTGTACTTTCATCATTTTTATTTAGGAGGCTAGAATGTTTCTATATTTGCAATATTTTACACAAGTTCATTGTTTCTTTCTTTATTGTTCAGTTCGTATTCTCATTGCTGTGCCAGCATTCAATGTTGTTATTGGTATAATTGTATTATGTCGTCTTCGTAGACGGTACAGATGCTTCCCTAACCAAGAATGATGTCGGAATACTTCAAAATAGGCACGAGAAGGCACAATGAATAGGAAGAAAGTTGCTGCTTGTGGTATATGAATAATCAAAGCAAATGAAGTATTCAATCTTAAAAGCCATTTACTGTTGATATTAACACATGAGAATAATAATGTAAGTACCAATTGTGGTAAAATACATGCCTGAAAGGAACAGAATTTATTATAGTTAAAAACAAACAATACATTACATACTATAGTTAATGTTGGTGAAATAAAGAGATGACCATGACGATGAAACTGTCTAATCCATTGTGACCAATATCTTGTTCTATGAATATTGGCTTTTCGACGGCTAATTGAAGCCAAAATTAAACAATTAGCCAACATATTAAGTGAAACAGGCACGAACACATGAATAAATGAGAATATTGTATTCAATGCCAATAGTTCTTCTGAATATCTTATTTGACAAACAAATTTGCCTGCGATCACTGGATCTGGCAATGTTCGTCTAGAAATTAGCTCTGGTATATGCATTAAAGATACACAAATTGATACCAGTACAACTAGCATGATTCCTGCTACTCGAGAACGAATTTGATTCCATAGAAAACCTAATTCAAATGATTGAAAGGCTCGTTGTAATCCAATAAGTCCATTCATCCAAAGACATATTCGTGTAAGTATCGATGATATAGGAGTGATCACATTGCATATAGAAAAAAATGATTCATAATTGAGAGAGTCTAATAATTGAATGAGACGAAACTCAAGTAAAAGAAATACAGATATTGAACAACAACTGTAAAGAAGAAGATGAAATCCAACAGAGGTTGATCTTATTTGTGCTCGGTAAAATGTATCAGCAGATAATATATTTGATAATAGAGCAAATACAACCATTATTGTCACAGAAAACACATATGCAAATGTCATCAATTGTTGCTGATCGACATTAGTTGTTCGAATATCTGTTTTCATACTTGATACAAGACCAATAAGAAATATATTGACTGAATTATTACAGATCATTTTTGATGCTAACTACAAAATTGAGATTTAATGCTGTCGAAGAAACGAAGGAAATGACACTTACTTGAAGAGAATAATTAAAAGAACACAGAAAATGCTACATGATGCTTTTAGAAAATATTTCCTTTTACATTTTCAGCATCGGAAGATAGTTTTTTCTGTAAAAAGAAAGCGTTATCTCTGATAGGTGAAGCTAACATTTAATCTCGTAGACTAATAGAATAAATTACTTCTCTTGCTCAAAAGAAACCTATAAATAACATTTGCTACGTGTTATATTTGGCCTTGATGCTAATGACGTTTTTTTTTCTCATGTATAGTTTCTGCAATATTCATATTAGTGGAACAGTAGCATATTGCTCAAAGACCTGTCTGTTTCACATGTTCTTCACATACAGAATTCGTTTTCTTAGAAAGATTAAGAAGCAAATAATGCTCTCTGAATGAGAAACGATATTGCAGCCTGCTATTTTGCTTTTGACAACAATGCATCTTCTCTTCTAAAATTAAATGCATACTTAAATTCGTCATGATCAAATCATTGTAGTTTTGTTTTTGAAACATGTTAAATTTACTTCTTGATATTTTTGAGCAACAATTATACGGTAATTATTCAAAATAATTTATTCAAGCAAAGATTTTTGAAGAGAAAGTTTATTCTAAAGGCTTAAAATCTGAAAAAGTAAATGTCTGACCATATAGTTAAGCAATCTCGAGAGTTATTCATAAGCGTGTGACGCAAGATCTTAGGTTAAATTATCGTTGAGTACTTTGCTTCATCTTGTAATGTTACGTAATTACGTTACTTCAAGATTAAGCTGAAACCATGTTTCTCCGACTGTATTTTGCTTTACACGTGCTGTAAAGGAGCAGTTTACATTGATCAGAACAGAATATACGGAATTGAAGTTAGAATCAATTTTGTCGAAGTTAGAAAACATATAAGAAATAACTATATTTAAGGTCTTACTCATATATCGTTTAATTATCTCCTACTAGACATGTGCAACACAGTGAAAATAATTTGGCAGTAATGAAACAGTCTAACCGTGTCTATTACAGTCAATGATGGAAGTAATGAAACAACCTTGTCAAATTTTTTTCTTCTCATTGACCTCCTTAATTGTGACAGATATGCCAAAAAAGTAAACTTTATTATTAGAAGTGCTGCGAGAATGATCAAAGTCATGAACATTAGGCATATTTCGGATAAAATTAGTTTCAGAAGATTTAAGCTTCTTAATTAGTATTTTAAATCTACACTATCCATTTAGATAGAATAATTGTTGTAAAATACACATAACGAAACTTTCTACAATTAGCATGATTGATTTCGATTAAACTATTTCTTTTTAAGTTTATACAACGGACAAACAGAAGACAGAAATCTTGAAATTTGTTTTGTTTACATCGTATTTATGAATATTACCAAATCAAATAAAACTCCATTGTTCTAATGATTAGTTTTTGTAATTTCGTAGAAACAAAATACGTCTATTCATTGTTTGTCATTTTTAAGATTGTATGTCATAAACATAGACATTGTTGCAAAGTGGATCCTTGGAAAGCATCAGTTTTGAGTTATAAATATCAGAAATGTAGTGGACTGAAATCCAGGAGTATCATATTTTTACTATTGTTGTCAGTAAGCGGTAAATGATCAGAAGTTTGTATGTAATCGGAAGTATGTCAAATTCGATAATTCATTGATGCTTGTTTAGATTATGCATGCTCTATCGAACTATAGTTCGTAATTAAATTCACTAATTGAAAAGAAAAAATTCTATTCTTCAGCTCAAAGGTTTCTTTTTCATCTCAAATGTTCATGAAAATGCATTTAAATCTAACTATAGTTCGTAATTAAATTTATCAATTGAAAAGAAAAAATTCTATTTTCTAGCTCAAAGGTTTATTTTTCATTTCAAACGTTCCTGAAAATTGAGTGAAATCGAACTATAGTTCGTAATTACTTTTACCAATTGAAAAAATCTACTTTCTATGTCAAAGGTTTATTTTGCATGTCAAACGTTCGTGAGAATGTATTTAAAAACTTTCTAGTTTTGTTTTTGCTTGTGCTCAATAGTCTATTTTTCATTCCTAATATTTCTAAAATGAT